TCTCTCTCTCTCTCTCTCTCTCTTTCTCTCTCTCTCTCTCTCTTTCTCTCTCTCTCTCTCTCTCTTTCTCTCTCTCTGTGCTTCCTGATTGCCGCGTGTTGAACAGCTTTCCTTCACTATTCCCTTTTTAAAATTTCATTTTTATTAAGATTATTGGTACGATTTAGATATAGATAATGATTATATTCATTGTAGGGAATTTTTACCTATATATAATATATCTTCATTTCTTTTTCCTAATCACCTCCTCTCCCTTCAACCTGTCTTCCCCTCCTTATTTACAAAATCTTTGTTTCCATTTTATCAGTCTTTAACATTTTTTTCGTTTTCCTTCACTTCCCCCATTCCCTCTTCTTTTGAACATTTTTTTTCCTATTTTACAATACCGATTGTACCTTTGGTCCTTATTTACACTTTCAGTGTCTCACACCAGAAAAATATTGAAATATTTACATGCGTGTGTCTGATTTATGTCATTTAAACGTATGGTCTCAAAGTGCATCCATTTAACCAGAAATGTCTCAAGTTTATCTTTCTTTATTTCTGAGTAGTACTCCATTGTATAAAAAAAAACCTGCATCTTTTTTTATCCATTTCTCATTTGACAGGCATTTGGGTTGTTTCCAAGATTTAGCTCTTACTGACTGTGCTGATATAAACATGGGTGTGCATATATTCCTGTGGTATGATGCTTTTAATTCATTCAGGATGATACTAAGAAGAGGAATAGCTGGGTTGAATGAAACTTGTAGTTCTAATTTTATGAGGGATCTCTGCAATGATTTCCATAGCAGATAAACCCGTCTACACCCCCACCAACAGTGGGGAAGTGTTCCTTTTGCCGTACTAATCCCTTTCCCAATGCCATTTTCGCTTTGAAACCAGTTGACCTTGTACTGAATCCTCTGAAAACAAAATAAGCCTCTCCTCCTTTAATTTGCAAGTGCCAGATATTTTCTTCTATCCATAGAAAAATGATTTATACATCTACTAATTTTCAAATAGATGACAAAAAAAGGTACTTGTTGGTGTGTCCCTGAAACTTTATAGTTATTTTTAATGTAGTAATGGCGAGTTGAACAATTTGCATTGCATACTATGGTCTTATAATCCAAAACAATTTACAGAGGCTGGGGATTTAGCTCAGTGGCACAGTGCCTGCCTGGCAAGCACGAGGTCGTGAATTCGATTCCTGGTACCAGAGAAAAACAACAACAACAACAACAACAACAACAACAACAAAAAACAATTTACAGATTCAATAAAAAATAAAAACTTTTCAAATAAATAGAAAAAAATCACTAAAGTTCATGTGGAATCACAAAAGACCCAGATAGCCAAAGTAATCTTCAGAAAGAAGGACAAAGCTATAGATATCATACTACCTGATTTCAAATTTTATTATGTTTATTTCAAATTCTATTTTATTAATATCATAGTTTAAAAACTATGATACTGGTTTAAAACAGACCCAAATACCAATGGAATAATATAAAGTGGAATCACAAGTGAATCCACCTCTATGTGGTCCACCAATATTTAATAAACATGAAGGATACCCAATGGGAAAGGCTATTCCCTTAAACAAAAGTCTAGATACCCACAAGTAAAACATGAAATTGGATCCTTTCCTTATATCATACATAAAAATGAGCTCGAAACAGATAACAGATTTAAATGCTAGACAAGAAAACACAAAAATAGAAAATTTATGGAAGAGAGTTCTCAAAGAAGAATCATTCACATTTATGTTGAGTGATTTTGTAGATATGACATCAAAATTATATCTATGATACCAAAAAAACAAACAAATAAATAGCCCTATGTCAAATTAGAATGTATCTGCCAAGCAAACTAAATGACCCATAAAATAGTGAAGAAGTCTACTGAATGGGGTAAAATAACAGTAAATTATATAACTAATAAAGGGTTAATATCAAAAATATGTAACAAACTCCAACAACTTAGTACTGTAGTGAAAAACAACATAGCCTGATTAAAAATGAGTTAAAGGCATGAACAGAGTTTTTAAAAAGAAGACATACAAATGGCCAACAGATATATTAAAAACTGTCTAACATTATAAACATCAGGAAAATACAAATCAGAACCACAGTAAGTTATTACTTGAGAATGGCTTGTTGGCTATTATTTAAAAGAAGTATTTGGAGGATGTGGAGAGAATAAAATGTTTGTTTGCTGTTAGTGGAACCATTAACTGGTGCAGCTAATATGGAAAACACTATGAAATTTTCTCAAAAAATTAAAAGTGTTGTGGTTTTCCACACATTGGTAAATATCCGAAGGAAATTACATCAATATGTAAATAAATATGAGTACTGGGAAATTCATTTCAGTATTATTCAAGATAACTAGAAATGGAAACATTCTATGTATCCTTTAGCAGATGAATGAATAAAAAGCATGTTACACACACACACACACACACACACACACACACACAGCCTGGAGTACAAATGGCAAATAAATACCTGAGAAAATGTTCAACATCATTGGTTATTCAAGGAATGCAAAATAAAACAACACTGAGGTTCCATTTCATCCCAGAAAAAATGACTACCATCAAGAAATCAACCAATATAACTAAGAAAATTCTACTACTAATTTCTTTTAGTTTACTGAAAGGAACAGTTAGTGCTTGTATTGTTTGATCAAATTTGTGGCGTGTATCTGATAATCTGAGCAACTACTTTGAAGATAACAATATGCAACATAATAACCATTGTTAATTAACTATCATCTTGTTTTGAAATTCTATTTCATTTTCATTGTTTTTTTCTCTTTAAAGTAAAATTATATATATATATATATATATATATATATATATATATATATATATAAAAAATGTAAGTAAACCACTGCAGGAAATGCTGCCAGCATGGGAAGTTTGCAGGATTTGTCAACTGTCTTGGCCAGACAAACCCAAGTCCCTGACCCTTACCTCTACACAGCAGGAAGCACTGAGTACTGGACAACTGGTTTGGCCATAGGAACACAGGGTAAATCCACTCTAACAAGGGAAAACACTTTGCGTAAAAACTCCTAATTTACAATTGATTCTGATATATAACTACAGTGATCCCTCATCTATCACAGGATTTACATTCCAGAGACCCCCGCTATAGGTGACAATCCATGAAGTAGCAGTGTTACATTTATTTTATTATTATTAGATATATTTTAAGGCTTTATAAACCCTTCCCACACTCCTATAAACCTTTGCCACTCTCTTATTAACCTCTTCAACACTCTTAAAAACACTTCATTTCCTCTTAAACGCTTTCTACCCTCTTAAACCCATGTAATTTTAACATGTAAAATTCTATATAGGTACTCAACTGTAAAGTGGACAAGGAGAGATGCTTAATGTATGGGCACAGTACAGGAGGGCAAACAGACCAATGCTATAGTCACTGAGCTGATCCACACCCAGGATATAAACACAGTGCTGTGGTTGGTTGCCTTCCATTCCATTAGCCAATAGTGTGCCATGTACAATCTCATGTTGGCAAACTTGCACAAGTGGTAGTGGTGTACTGCATTTCCATTGTGCACAATGTGGTATTCATCCACTGATGAAATACATGCTGTATTTTATTTTGACATTATTCTTTTAATGTTTGAATTAACATTATTAATATTTTATGTTATTTTAAATTTTCTTGGAAAAAATGATTAAAATCATAAATATTGTATAAATATCTATATACTGCAAAATCCCAGTATATAGCAAAAACTTCATGATATGGAATTAGATATATTTTTTAAAACACCAGTGATACAGTGAAGCTGCAGTAAGTGAAACAAAATATAGGGAAGGATGACTATATACACTTCTCTCTTATGGTCTAAAGTACAAAATCAATAGTTACTACAGTTAGTCAGTTTCAAAATTGTGATTGATGCTGTCATTATGGCTAATTGTACTACTGTAGCTAGGACATCATATCTGCTGTAATCACTTGTTCTCCCTTGGGTAACAATATTGGGAAGCTCTGTGGTAATAACCCCACCACAGCCCTACACCTAAAGACTGAGGACAGAGCCAAACAGAAATAAACAACTCACTGTCAATTAATTGGGAAGGTATGATCTTGGGACACACACAAAACAAGAATCTCTTACACACAGAAGATATCCCAGAAGAATTGTTTTCTTAGATAGGTTTTGATACTAGTGATATAGATATCTGCTACCAAAACTCACAAAGACCATCACAGAAAAAAAAATAAAAATTTCTTCTTGAAATAGAAAATGTCAAGACCAAGGAGCAAAATGCAATCTTAGACCTTGAGCCCACCAAGAACAAGTCCACAAGACATCATCATAGAAAAAATTGGAAGTCACACACCTGAATTTCTGAAATGATAACAACTGAAGTGAAGAAACAACTTGAAGAGGCCTTAGAGGAAATCAGATCAGAAATAATCTCTCAAATAAAAAATAAATAATAGCCATAATGAAAGAATTCCTGAGCATATCTAAAGAAGACAAAGATTTTTAAAAAGGAGTATAGAAAAATGATAGAAACCTTAAATGAATAATATAGGA